TTAGTTTTAACCGAACTGATTAATTTTTTTTTCTTGTACAAAAAATTATATATTTCTATCTCAATTTTTTATTAGTCATGATGTTCAATGACTTGAAATATTTTATTATCTCATTAACAATTTAGACCATTTATTTGCTAGATTCTGTTAGTTTGTAGGTACATCTAGGAGTAGCCAAGTGGGACTTCGATTAAGATATTCAACGAATTAGAAATTAGTATTACTGAAACATATTGGTTATTATAATTTTAATAGGTAACTAACAAAAAAAAAATGAACTAAATGATTATTTCGACCGTAAAAAAAAAAAAAAAATTGTTAAAATCTGAAATAACTGCAACACTTCAGTCAAAGATGAGTGGTCATTTTGTACCGAAATAAAAAAGATGAGTGTTCATTATCAGGTGTGCGACTCCGGTCGACGTTCCAAATACTGTGGTTGACTGCAAAAATAAAAATAAAAAAAATGATCCTTCATCTGTTCAATAATGACGACTGTATTTAACTAACGGGCCGCCAGATCAATAATTCGGCTTAAACAGGATACATAAACCTGGGCCAAACTATTTTTCTTTAGTTCGTTATAAAACTGGAAGACTGAAAAATACATGAATGCCCAAATAACAGAATTAAAAGTCATCTCCTCTAATCCAAACTAAGAACCTTCGGTCCTGTAAGGATTCAGACTAAAATGGCTCATGCATTGATCAATTTCCACCTTCTTATCGAACCCAATACTTCAAAATACGACATATTTCCTGCAAAAATCCAATCTTTAAGAAAACTCAAAAACCACCAATCAAGAATCAAATTCCATGGATCAAGGCCGAGCACGACCTTGTTAACCAGCACGAGTTGTCAAAGTGCAGTTTCAGCAGCTGAGAAGGTGCTGTCTTTCGTAAAATCGGGTAGTTTGGAATCTGCACTCCAACTGTTCGAGAGAATGACTGAACCAAACACGTACGTTTGGAATGTAATAATCAGGGGATTAGTAGATTCCGGAATGTTCCAAGAAGCTATTGAATTGTACATCCGAATGCAGTTCCAAGGCGTCAAAGCCGACAACTTTACGTTTCCTTTCATAATCAAAGCGTGTGCGGGGATTATCCGGTTGAAGGAAGGACTTAAAATTCACTCCACGGTTATTAAGCTCGGTTTACATGTAGATATTTATATATGCAATGCATTGATAACGATGTATGCTAAAGCCGCGTGTATTGAGGGAGCAGAGAAAATATTCGGGCGTATGCTCGTAAAAGATTTAGTTTCTTGGAATTCGATGATCAGTGGGTATGTCTCGTTTGGTGATGGTTGGAGCTCTTTAAATTATCTTCGGCAAATTCAGAATTCGGGATTAGAACCCGACAGGTTCAGTTTTATCAGTGGTTTGATTGCTTGTGCCCTCGAGCAATCTTCCTCAAGCGGGAAGGAGATATTTTGCCGAGTGCTCAAAAATGGGATCGAACTCGATTCTATGATTCAGAGCTCGTTGATCGACATGTTTGGAAAATGCGGTCAAGTCGATTATGCCGAGAGGCTATTTAACATAATTTCCCAGAAAAAAAATATAGTTGTTTGGAATGCAATGATTGGTGCATACGCTTTGAGTGATAATAAATCTCTGGACTCATTTGCCTGTCTTTTGAAAATGAAAGAGGAGGGCGATTTGAGCCCGGATGCTATCACGTTGATTAATTTGCTTCCCTCCGTTTCGAATCTCGGTGCTTTGTCACAAGGCAAGGCTATTCACGGGCATGCGCTTAGGAAAGGGTATATACGTCATTTAGCGTTAGAGACTGCGTTTATTGACATGTACGGTAAATGCGGGAGCATAAACCTCGCCGAACGTGCGTTTTCTCTCGTTCCGATGAAAAGTTTGGTCTCGTGGAATGCCATGATCGGGGCTTATGTGAAGAATTCGGAAAATACGAAAGCTGTTGAAACATTTCGAATGTTGTTGCTAAACGAGCCTCATCATGTGCCGGACGAGACGAGTTTTTCGAGCGTCCTAGCAGCCTATGCCGAAATCGCCTTGCCCGGAGAAGGAAAACAGATACATTCCCGCGTCGTAAAATCGGGATTATATTTAGACACTTTTGTATCTAATGCACTGATTCATATGTACGCGAAATGTGGTGATCTCGATTCGGGACGAAAAGTCTTCGATAATAATCTGACGTGTAAGGATATAATCTCATGGAACACGATTATTATGGGTTACGCTATTCACGGGCTCGAAAAACATTGCTTCGGTTTGTTCTCTGAGATGATAGAAATGGGATTCGAACAGAATAAAAGCACATTCGTTTCGATTTTATCGGCCTGTAGCATAACCGGCAATGTGGACAAAGGTTGGAAATATTTCGATTTAATGAAGAGAGGATTTGGGATTGATGCAGA